TCCACCCCCTCGCCAGTTCCTGAAGTGCAAAAACACACGACCGCGTGATATGCCGTCCGCGGAAACCCCGCAGACTGCAGGTACGCAAAGGATGCCTGTATTCCGCATGAGTCAAAAAAAAAACTCATATATCCGTTGCGGCTCCCGCGTCAAGGCGTTTGATTTTGAGCTGCCTTTATTCGCCGCTCCTTGCAGCGAAGTGTTGTCCACCCAAACGTCCATGGTGGACGGCAAGATGACGGAAAAGGCCGATAAGGCTAAGCGTACCGCGCGCGCCTCGGCCTGCATGATAAGAAAAGGTTTCTTCTCCCATTTCCCCCGGAAATTTTAACGTCGCCGGAGTCTGGAATAAAAACGGCGCCCCATCCATGGAGCGATGCATCCGTGATGATGGCAGCCGATGCCTTTTCCGTGGAATTGATGGTTCGCCTACGATTGTTCTCGATGATGTGTCGCGGTCTCTCGCCCGAACCAACCGCTGCCGGCGGAAGGTTCGCCGGGGATGTCTTCATCACAATCCCCCGGTGAAGTGCGGATAGCCGTCGTCGCACTGCCTTGATGAAAAAGTAGTAGTCACATACACGCGTGCACAAAATGGCCGCCGCGTACAAAAAGCGTGACACCGTAACCTCCATTCCCGCGATGGTTAAAGAATTAAGCGCCGGCATGGCGCATACAGACCGGACAAACTTGTCACTCAGGGATGCCGCCCGGTGTGTGTGATCAAGCTGAATCCCAAAAAGTTGTACTGTTTGGCATCGAATTCGCTGCGTACTCGGTAGTCCCGCCAAGGTACGTACGGAATGTTTCAACTTTCTTGGATGCAAGCTTTCTCAACTCAGCCGCGATAGAAATATGTGCAGCAGGTGTTTGATCCGAAGCAAGAAGGCCTCCACCATTAAAACAAGAGACCTGAGAGTTAGTGTAATCAACGCGGGTAGCAAAATTGGTCTTAAATATGGAATTGGCGTGGTGGAAATACTTCTTGATTCCAATGGTCACGTGCTTCTCCTCCTCCCCTGCAGCAGTAAAGGAGGGATGGCTGCCCAGGTACTGCAGCAGGAGGAACAGCACCATCCACCGGACAGCGTTCCTTGTCGCAGAGCGCGTTCGAATGCCCATTGCTCCGGCCTCCATAATATCACCCGTCGTGCGGGAGAGCGTGTGAGTCCACTATTTTCGCGTGGTAGAGACAAAATGAAGGGAGAGGCACAACGACGGTGTGAAAAGAGAGCTCCAGGGGCGCAGGAACGCCCAGCCGAATGATCACAATTATTGAGAGGATCGGGCAAAATGCCACGCAAGAAACAATCCCTGCGGCCTTGTAAGGGGGGAAGGACCCCGGCCCGCAAAGATTCGCATATGCATACGAGGAGTAATTACTGTGCACGCAACAAGGAACGCAACATTCCAGCGTCCCCAACGCAAAATAAAAAAGGGATCCTCGTGAGTCCAACACACGGGCCCACACTGGCCAGCACCTTCCGCACCGCTCCCCCATCCGTAACGGTGCATGGGCAAAAGAAAACAGGCGCAGCGCGACCCCGCACAGGGAACAACTTGAGCAAAAGCAAAGGGTGGACATAACAAACACAGAAAAAACAAATAAATAGATGAATAAAACTTTCAGAATAATCTTCTGGGCCGCTGGCCGGATCCTGAAATTGCCAATGGAATGGAAATCGAGTAAAATGAGAAGGGGTGAACGGAATGGGGGCGGGGGTAAGTGAAAAAAACGAGGCCTTATCAAATTATCAAAGTTTGCGCCGTATGTATTTATTTTATTAATATAATTTTTATTGTAATTATGATTATGATTATAATTATTATTATTATTGTGTTGTCTTTATTAATATTTTTTCTAGGAGTGTGAAGTTGCTGACGAAGTGCCAAGGCTATCTCGTTAAATGTGTATATCCTGATAAAACTAAGATAGTTCTGTGAGATTCTTTTCCTATCTTATGAACATTTGGAAGATTGTGTTTGGAGGAGTCAAGGAACCAATAACGGCAAGACGAATTCTATTTTATTTCTATTTTTGTCATCCACCTTTTTTGATTCGGGCCTTGCGGCGGGGTCTTGTGGCTGGAAGGCCCAATTTACTTCAGTTTTTTAGGTAATAAATGTCTTCAATCCGAATAAACTGCACCGTGGCACGAGAGTGTCTGTCAGGATATATTTATTTATTTATTTATTTATTTATTATTAGTAGTATTATTATTATTTCCACTCTTGGGTTTTTATGCTTTTTTGATTGTTTTGTGTATTTTGACAATTTTTTTTCATGTTTCATTTTATGTGATTTTCCGCTATGCGTTTTTTATTCGATTGACTGGTGATGGTTCAGAAAAATATGTTTTGTTTTATATAGTATTTGCTATTCAAATATTTAGAGTGTATTTTCACAGATGCTTTAGTGGGGTGTATGTGCTCTGAGCTAACTTTG